TAATACAAGTTTTACAACAGAAGAGCTATTTCTGATGCAATAACATCCACAGCAGATTTAATCAGGAAAAGCCGATCTGGAATATCTCCTTATGTAGATGAGCCTCTGTGCCTGCAAGAGTCATCCTGATGGAGCTGTACATTATTGGACCAGTATTATTTGAAGAACTAAAGCAACTGAAAAGTCTATCAAACCAACATTTTCCTGCTGTACCAAAACATCAGTCCAAAGCATCTAATTAGAAGCAGCAAGGTAGAGTTTCTACAGTTTCAAAGCATTGCATGGGGAACTTAGCTCAGTAAGTGATTCTAATTAATGTCAGTGTGAATCTCTACTCACTCTGAATGACAAGATTTGAAAATTTTCTCCTGTGTACCTGAAAGAAGTAATAGAAGGGTTTTGTTTGTTTGTTTTCTTTTAAGATAACAGTTCCTTTTCTCTCTCTATCTTATGTCATTGCATGCTGTGTTACTGGAAAATCTGAAAATTGCTTCAGGACTGTTTTACATCTACCATACTATGGCAAAACATATCCTCAGTGATGGTTAGCTGTGGAAGATGTTTGTCTGTTCTTTGTGTCAGGGCTTTGGAAGCTGCCGTGAGAAGGCAGAATGGAGCACAGAGTCTGTTGTCCCTGCATACCTCTGAAGCAGAGGCAGCCACAGGAGTTGAGTTTGAGGAGAAACAGTTTATCTCCTTAAGTTAAAGAAAAAAAACAAGAGGAAAAAGAAGAAAAAGCATTCAGAAGGTGTCCCATGCATAGTCTCATTCGCAAATAAAAATAAAACTAAGAAGGAGGATAACAGAAAGCACTGGGGAACAAAGTAAAGCACACAGTTACAATCTTTGCTTAGGTTAAAACTGTCTCCGCTTTTATCTGTCTCCAGCTGTTTGCAAGAACAGATAAAAGAAAGCATTATTTTCCTCCCCTGCTACCATGTAGGCCTGGCTAGCCTTCTAACACAGCAATTACAGGCACTTTGGTAAGGTTTGTTTATAGCAAACAGCAATGCTTGCTCTCCAGCCTCATGCTAACTCTTTATAGGCCACTCCGTCAAACACGCCACGTCCCAGCAAAATAGGCATCTGTTGCCACAAGTTCATGCATGTGCCCTCTCTATATGCAGCGACGTTTGGGCAGGGGGAAGACCTTCAAAGAGAAATATTTATCAAATGTTTCACAGGCCCCAGAGCCATTAGAGCTTTCGCTCGTCGCATTTGACTCCCAAAACTAAAACAAATGGCATAGCCTATGACTGGCCTCCACAGCTTCACCCCTGCAATGGCTCCAGCCTTCACCACTCCTCGGGGCATGCCACAGATAAGGACCTCAGACCAGACCAGGGGAGCAGCGTGGTGGTGGAGGCTGCCTCCTCGGTGGCCAAAAGCCCCCAGAGCTGGAGCTCCGCAGCCTGGCAGAGCTGGAGCTCCGCAGCCTGGCACAGATCCGCAGGGAGGATATTGCCATCTGCCCTTAATGTGCTGCCCATTTGAAAGTGATTCATTGTGCATAAAGACCATCCAGTGCACCAAGTTCTCCTCATACAAACCTGAAAAACTGTCTTGCAGACACCAGATGCTCTGAGAAAGTGTCACTCATTCCGCTCTTTGAGTATCTGATGGTTATCTCTCAAGGTGACTTTATTCCTAGCAAGGAGAGATGAATTTCTGTTGTCCTTGAGAAGTGTTAATGGTGCCCATAGGTGCCAATAGCCCTCCTTCACCTAGTGAAAAAGGCCTTTTTTTTCAAGCCAGCCAAAACAGAATCAGAAGTAATTTCCCACATTTGTTTATCCAGAGGTTGGGTTTTTTTTTAATTGGCATATTTAAGATTGCTAAGGTCTACCCACACACATTTTGTTATTTGTCTTTCATTGACTCTTACACTGTGTAAGCAGGCTATGTGTCTGGATCATTACACCCACCGGTTTCATGTGCCTGAGCAAGTGTATAGTAACTTTATATTTTGGCTTCTGTTTGTTGGAAGGGTGATATAGTACAGCAGGCTGGCTGATGTACTGAGCAGCCCTGTGAATTGCAAGTTATAGGTGTATGTCTTGTGGAGGTCTATCTAGTCATCCTGCAATCATTGCCTGTAATTCACTGCCTGTCTCACCTTTTTGCAGCACAGTCAGGTATGGGAGACTTAACAACGATCAAGCAGCTGTATACTTGCACTCTGCAAAATTACCCAAATGTCATGAGTACTCCTTGTGACTGCAAAGCACATCCTTGGTCAGAGAAGACATTAAAACATGTAATTCCCTTCACATTTGGCTGATTGACCTTGCCTTTGGCTGATACTGCTGTGAGGGTGACTTCTTGTTAAGGGTGTGAAGCTACCATATGCCACTAGAATAAAACCAGATGCCTTATGCATGTTAGGCCTGGCATTTGTCTTCAGGTACACGCTGGCACAGCAATAACTTTCATTAGCAGCTGTCTTCATCTGCTGCAGCCCAACCACATCTTTACAAAACTACAATTTATAAACCTGCCTGTGAGGCTTCAGTTCAGATATTACATGTATGATAATATCTGGATGAAATGCTGAGAATGTACCACCAGGACAGAAGCACTGGTAAAGACTCAAAAGCAAACAGCCAGAAAGGCATCGACACTTTAGTCCCGCTAGTTAGAGGAGGCACATTGTTCTGGCTGATCCTCCTGGCAGCTGGCCCCATGGACTCAGAAGATCTGGACTTTTTCTGCCAGCCAAGATACTTCTCTGAGCTTCACATGTTGCCTGGGGCATACCTGGTGACCTTTCACTAGCCACGGAGGCTTGTGAGCAGAAGTATACATATAACACATGAGGCCCCAGGTCACAAGACTGGGTCTGGCAGAACTATGAGAGACATTTTCAACCCATCTGTACAGAGTTTTCTGTCATCAGACAGCACAGGAGTGCAGAACTTGTAACTTCCTTTATGGGCATGGCACATAATATCCTGCATCCCTTACTAGCAGTGCGTCTTTTGCCCTTTTTCTTCAATATGATGCTTGTATCTGCCCACTAAACAGAAAGCTTTATGTGACTTGTCCTACTTGTAAAGCATTTCAAAACATTTTAATTAGGAGGAAATCTCATATATAGACCAATGAAACAGTTCTGGCTCTTGTACTGACAGAAACTGCCTAGTCAAATTCTAAAAAGTTTTGTGGAGAAAGTTGTCCTTCCTGTTTTCCTATCACCAAGGTGACATCTTTCCA